TGAGAAACACTGTGATAGGCTGTTGATCACATTTCATGGTGTCCTATTGTTCACACTGACAGCTGATGGCAACGAGTCCACTGCAGATTTAGCCAAACATTAAGGAACTACCACTGGTTCTGAACCCTATCCCACAAACTGATTCATCACATTGGATACTACCAGCAGAATACAGTTTAACATTTGGAGTAGATACATTGCTCTTCTAAAAGGAGATGTTTGGTTTACCCTGATGGTCAAATGCAATTTGTCTTATTGTGATGCTAGCCATATTCTAGCTTTTGACCAGCTGAGCCAGAAATAAAAGGAAAGGAGACTAAAATTGCATCATATTTTAGTTTAGAGCTCTTGCTGCTTTTTGAGAGGTGTTTTAATATGGGAAAAGGCTATTGGCTGAGAAACAACCAAATGATGGCATTGTGGGGAAAGGGGTTTCAGTTCCCAGAGAAAACTAACAGGTCAGATTGAGGGTCAGGTAAGACAGATTTGACCAAGGATTTGAGCTGCTCTTAGATCTAGACTACATAAAACATAACCTAAGAAAATAGCAGTGACTGGAATGCCTGGGTTTTCTTTTCCCTGTATAGCTGGAACCCCTTCCAGAGGACACTCTACAACAGAAACCCAACACAAATGCGGTGCACTCTTTGGACGTGGTGATTCGGGTGCAAAGTAAGTGGTTATCTTTTTGTCCTATACATCAGGGGGTGGAGATGAATACACAAGTGATAGGGACAGTTCTGCTACTTACCTTTTGCTGCCAGTACTATTTGACATCCCTGATGGTTAAAAAAAGCAAAACTATTTCAACCATTGCTTGATATAAAAATGAGCATCCTTTGGATGTCTAAAAATTGACTGAGGCCAGAAAATATCATTGCAAAAAACTGAGTGGGTATCCAAAAGAAATGGGACCTGGAAATGACCAACCAACTGGGGAAGACGATGGTGGCCTTCTTACACTGACAGGCAATTTTCATGAACAGCTGATAGCATGACATAGTTGTTTCTGGACTGTGCCATTTCTTAGTTTTAACCAGAGGAACGTTAAGAGCCTTCGGCCTGTAGACCAGATGTGGCCCACAAAGGTCCCTCTCCCCCCCCCCCCCNCCCCACTCCTCCTCCCCTCTCTATCCTGAAAGGTTAAGACAAGGATGTATTTGGATGTCTCTTGTCTGTACACTTTTTCTCCTCTTCATCCACACCTTACTTGTGGAACTCTCCTGACTGTTATTTGTACGGTTATTTCCCTCCATCCTTATGTAAGTAATTATACAAGCCCCAAGAATTCAATTGTTACATCTTCCTTTTTTCCCCTTCAGTTCTTTATTTCTATACTCTTCTTTTTACTTTACTTGTGGAACTTTCTTGATAGTTTACACTGTTATTTTCCTCCATTGTTGTGTAAATAAAACTTTGGAGAAGGATTGCAGTGTTCTCCACAATTTTCTTTTTGCTTTTTTCTATGCTCTAATTTATTTGTATTTTGAATTTTGGGATCATATTTTTTCATTTATATAGAAAATGGCACTTCTCTGCCCAAAAAAAAGATACTTGTTCAATAAAGAATTTTGATCAAATGAAATGTTTGCAAAGACTCCCAATATTTTATATTCAGATAGCCCTGCGGTAGTGGGCTGTTTATGGGGTTGTGTCAAATCCCCATATCTCACTGAAGTTGAGAAGATTATAAGCCTTTCTACTCTTGGTATGCATGGTAACATCCCCTACTTTGTGAATAAATGGTAGTCAGAGAGCATTTCAGAGCCAAACTTATTGGAACTTGGAGGGGTGTTTTGTTTTTGTTTTTTACCAAAACTCCCAGAATGCAACAGCCAGCATAGACTTTCTTACTCTGGCTGGGGAAATTCTGGGAACTGTTTTCACTTTTCCTAGTTCTGCATCTTATTGATCACATAGCAGTTTGGTGGGTAACATTCTGTGGCTGTAGAATAGGCAGTTCATTAATGGGATTACTGCCTAGAGCACCACAATAGGGCTTCCCACTCTGCATACAAGGGCCAGGCTGTGATTATCACCCTCCTCTCTTC